GAGGGGCAGAGAGAGAGGGAGACACAGAATCCGAAGCAGGCTCCAGGCGCTGAGCCATCAGCCCAGAGCCCGACGCGGGGCTCGAACTCACGGACAGCGAGATCATGACCCGAGCCGAAGTCGGCCGCTTAACCGACTGAGCCACCCAGGCGCCCCAATCGCAGACTCTTAATAGACTGGCTTCAGAATATTTAGTACAGAGGTTTATCTCTTCAAAGTACTATATGCACTCCATTAGTTGAAGACTTCCTAGGTTTTTAAATTGCATTATGTGGCAAGTGCCTTTTCACTGGTATTAGTTACAGTGGGGATATATTCTTGTATGCCTCCTTGTGGATTTAACCTTTAAAATATTTTTCTTTTCCTAAAACAACATGCAGGAGTGAAGCTACTGGTTTGTATACTTCTTTTTTTCCATTTAGTTTATAATGTTTATTAAACATTTACTATTTTGGGGATGATTGAAGACTTACTAATTACCTACTAAGTATTTGAAAATATTATCCGATCTGTCACATAATTCTCGTTCAAAACTTATAGTAGCTTATGGTGTTTAAGTAGTACTATCTCTACCTTACAAATGAGGAAACCAGACACTGAGCAGTTAAGCAACCTACCTAAGAGAAACCTAATAACTAATAATAAGTTAAGATTGGAACCCAGGTTTGCCTCCTTCCACTGTCCATGGTTATTTAAAAAATATGTACCTACCTTGATCATGGCAAAGTTTACCTGAAATACTAAAACACCAACTAAAGCAAAAACGTATGCACACAAACATAACCTTGAAGGAAATTAAGATGAAAGAGAAAATATACCTCATGTCCTGCTATTCTGACAAATCAAACTAGTACTTTGATCAGTAAGACTCGTCTCATCTAGGGAGCCTGGGTGGCTCAGTCGGTTAAGCGTCCGACTTCAGCTTAAGTCGTGATCTCACGGCTTGTGAGTTCGAGCCCCGCGTCAGGCTTTGTGCTGTCAGCTTGGAGCCTGGAGCCTATTTTAGATCCTGTGTCTTTCTCTCTCTCTGCCCTTCCCCTGCTTGTGCTCTGTCTCTCTCAAAAATAAAACAACAACAACAAATTAAAAAAAGAAAAGACTCTTCTTATCTAAGTATTGAATAGTCACCGTGGCAGGATCAGGGCAGAGAAAGGGCTGGGAAAGAAGGAACAGAAAAGTTCAGGGAGCTAGCTGGTAGCATTAGAAGCATACGTGCTGGATGGCGACCCAGACCTGATTGGCTCCTGGCTTCGGCTCAGAGGTTTCTCATACGCCCATTTGTTATAGATTAATCCTGCAGTAGAACCCCCACTGACCCTCTGGGAGTTCTTTTTTTATTTGGCCATAGAGAGACCTGTAATCTGTGCCATCCATCCCATCACGTTTGTGTTGACCACCAGGGGTTGCGGGAGACCGCTTAAGAGCTGGGACTCGAATGAGTCCGAACTCCTAGCAAGGGACTGGAAAATAGGAAAAAACTGGAGGAAAGAAGAAAGGAAATCTAAGGCCATGTTGAGCTCTTGCCAGCAACTCCTGAAAGAGGAAAAAAGGGGGAGGAGAAGAGCTGAATTATTTTGGAGGCCAGGCTGTATGTCATGGTTGCCTGAACTTGTCACCTTACTGAACGAAGAAGGCAAACTTGAGTGATTTCTTCGAAGCACTAGTGTGCTTGTGCTGTTACAATTCATAGAGAAGGTTCCCAGTATAACTGAACGTATGCATTGCGTTCTTCTTTTTAAGCTGCGTTTATATACTTATTACGAGTAATTGGACCTTAGGGTAGAAAATCGCTATTTAGTGATTTCAGGATTCGCAAGTGTAGAAATCCCATTCTTTAAAAGATTAAGGAAAATTGTTACACTTGAGATTTTTGCTCTGTAGCGACATTCAAAACTTGTACTCTAAAGGCAGAGTTGAAAAGGCAAAATATAATGCAAGTATGACTTTTTTTTTTTTAAGTTTATTCATTTATTCATGTAAGTCATCTCTACACCCAATGTGGGGCTGGAACTCAAGACCCCGAGATGAAGAGTCACATGTTCTCCCGAGCGAGCCAGCCAGGTGCCCCACAAGTATGGCTTTCTGAGGATGATCTGAGTTACAGGTTCCCAAGGTTCTTAAGGACAGGGATCCAGCACAGAATTCAGCACTGGAAATCACTACTTAATAATACGATGCTTGTCTTGATGCGTTCTGTTGCTCTGGGCAAGTTGTGTGGGCTGTTATCTCCTGAGAAATCCCTGTAAATGGTATTAATAATGCTTTAGAAGTAGGTTGGGAGAATTATTTTTCTTTAATTTTTTTTTTTTTCAACGTTTATTTATTTTTTGGGACAGAGAGAGACAGAGCATGAACGGGGGAGGGGCAGAGAGAGAGGGAGACACAGAATCGGAAACAGGCTCCAGGCTCCGAGCCATCAGCCCAGAGCCTGACGCGGGGCTCGAACTCACGGACCGCGAGATCGTGACCTGGCTGAAGTCGGACGCTCAACCGACTGTGCCACCCAGGCGCCCCGGGAGAATTATTTTTCTAAACCGTTTTGGAATTCTTAGATGAAAGGCTGTGTGTGGAGCACATTGGTGTCAGCCTGTTTTCCCTTCTCTGAGACGGGAGAAGAGGCACCTTGGGGTGGGAAGGTTGGCCTTTGTTTTGGAGTTCTTTTCATAAATTGCTTTCACTGGATTTCACAGAAGCTCCCAAGAATATGGTTAACTGTAAAAGGAAACATTTTTGTATTTGGAACTTGGGATTAATTATATGTTTTCATCTAAGATTTAGAACAGATTTAAATAGTTTGTAGTTGGCCAAACTTGGGGAAGAAAATATGGCCCTTTGATGAAACTGGGGTCCACCTTTGTTTTTCTCTTGCTTTTACTGTACTTCAGAGAAGACTTAAACCTGACTTTCTGAAAAGCAGTCAAGTTTTCTTTTCAGTGTGTTGGATCTGTGTTTTCCCACTGATCTGTGAAATTAATATTTTGCTGCCAAATAACTTACAGTAGGGGCTGGAACAAAGTTTTCATCTACATTCATTTATACATTCAAACATGCATATTCCAATGTATCCATGTGAACACACAGCTTTGCTTGGAAGATTTAAAATCAGATTCTTGCTTTAGAGAAGTTCAGTCTAATAGAGCAGGATAATATATATGCATCAGTAACTATAACGCCTGGTGCTTTTGAAAAATGCACGTTTTCCCCCCTGAATTACCTCTACTTAAAATAATGGGGGATGAAGAGTAATGTAAATAGTTTAGAGAAACTTAATACTAGGGTTTACTGTTCACGCATTTGCAAGAAACTTTCTGGTAAAGACAGGAAAAATGACCCAGTCTAGACGCATGGGAAGGAAGGTAGGGCTAATTTACTACCTCTTGGTGCCTTGAAATCAGAATTGACAGGTGCAGTGGTATTTGTCTCCCCGCACCCCCAATTAAAATGGCACCTGTTGAAGTGAAAAGCTTTTGATCTGGGTTGAGAGTGTACTTTTTTGTTCTCTTTAAAAACAAAATGTATTCCTTCTTGGGGCGCCTGGGTGGCGCAGTCGGTTAAGCATCCGACTTCAGCCAGGTCACGATCTCGCGGTCTGTGAGTTCGAGCCCCGCGTCAGGCTCTGGGCTGATGGCTCAGAGCCTGGAGCCTGTTTCCGATTCTGTGTCTCCCTCTCTCTCTGCCCCTCCCCCGTTCATGCTCTGTCTCTCTCTGTCCCAAAAATAAATAAACGTTGAAAAAAAAAATTAAAAAAAAAAAAGAGAAAAAAAAATGTATTCCTTCTTGTTACATCTGCTTTGCTGCTTGTGAGACTGATGAGCTAAATAAGCCCTTTCCCCCAACTGTGCGGGGATTCCCGGTGAATTTTCCAATGTAGTCACTCGATTTACATCATTCGCTTCCTTTTTCTTCCAACAGATTGTGTTTAAAATTTTCATAGCTTTGGGGCGCCTGGGTGGCTTGGTCGGTTGAGTGTCTGACTTCGGCTCAGGGCATGATCTCACAGTCCGTGAGTTCGAGCCCCGCGTTGGGCTCTGTGCTGACAGCTGAGAGCCTGGAGCCTGTTTCAGATTCTGTGTCTCCCTCTCTCTCTGCCCCTCCCCTGTTCATGCTGTCTCTCTCTGTCTCAAAAAAATAAATAAACGTTAAAAAAAAATTAAAAAAAAAATTTTTTTTTTTCATAGCTTTGCTTACCTTTTAGGGTTCAGATTTACTCTCCATTCAGTCTGTGGTCTTTAGCTTTTGGCAAACTTTCAAAGAAACCTCTCTTTTGCAGAGACTGCACCCACTTTATTCTTTCACCCTTGGGTGGTGGAGAACCAAAGGTCACTTGAGTAATGCCTGACCTGCCACCACTTTAGCTCATGCGCTAGCCGACACTCTCTTGCCTCTTGCCTCGCAACTGCCTCTGCCCTAGTTTGGAGGGGGTCTGGCTTTTGAGGGCCCGTGAAGGTAATTAATGCAAACAGCCACTTTGCAAGTGAACTCTGAGAGTTCGGCCTATTTGTAGTGGAGGTTCAGCAACTCACAATGCTTGGCTTTATGGGCAGTTTACAACGCAGCCAGATTCAGTTCTCAAAAAACCAAAACCCCAAGGACCCTGCCTTTTAATCAGAGAAGAACGAAAAACATAGGCTGACCTAACTGCAAGGTGACGGCAAATGTTTTAAAGTGCAGGAGCTTTGACCCTCCCCTCCCCCATTTTGCTATGATTGTCTAGGTATTTCTTTGAATGCCAGAGGACACTGTCAGTAATTGCTAAAATAATAGCTATCTGTTGAGCGGGTATTATCGTAGTGTGGACAGGGGGCCCCATTATTGCGCACGTTCTGTGCTGTGCGGCAGGGAGCCGGTTGCTAACGCGGGTGCGTCTGGGCTCCGCGGGCCTGGGCCGCCGGGAACCGGAGCCACCTGGGGGCGGGGCCTCGGGACCCCGCCAGTGCGCATGGGCGACGTCTTCTCCTACGGACCCCCTTCAATTTCCGCCATGGTCGGAAACGTAGTGAATGCAGTTAGCTGAGTGTCAGCTGAGCGCGCCGGTCGCCGGAATGTCTCATGAAAAAGGCTCCTTGAGGGGAGGCGTAGAGAAAGGAGAGGAGCCAGCGGGGACCATCGCTGGTAGTGCGTTCTCTGTGAAGCGGGTGGAGGACGAGGAAGAACCGATGAAGGTGGAAGTGGCGGTGGGGGCTGATGGCTGCCCTGACGACCTCAGCTGCCGGGAGGCCGACATAGACCCATACCTCCTAGGGCTTGCGGATGACGAGAAATGCCGGAAAATCCGCAGGCAGTACCGACAGCTCATCTATAGTGTCCAGCAGAACCGTGATGACATAGTGAACACGGCGAGCGACACGTTAACCGAGGCCCTTGAAGAAGCCAATGTCCTGTTTGATGGAGTGAGCCGAACCAGAGAAGCAGCACTCGATGCCCAGTTTCTTGTTTTGGCTTCTGATTTGGGTAAAGAGAAAGCAAAGCAACTGAACTGTGATATGAGCTTTTTTAATCAAGTAGCGTTTTGTGACTTTCTGTTTATATTTGTGGGCCTGAACTGGATGGAAGATGATGAACGTGATGAATTGAGTGGCTGTGATGATAATATAGCTCTTTCCTTCTGGGAGACAGTACAGAAGGAAGCAACATCCTGGATAGTGCAAGCTGAAACATTCCACTTTATTTTTGGTTCATTCAAGTCTAAGCCTTCTGCACCAAAGCCCCGACTTGAACACCAGAAGAAAGCTCACAAAATGGAAGAAAATGGGGCTATGCCTACAAAGCTGAGGAAGTTGGACCTGAGTAATAATCAAGAAGCAACAGAAAAAGAAGTGGAAAGAATCTTGGGATTGTTGCAAACTTACTTTCGAAAGTATCCTGATACTCCCGTGTCCTATTTTGAGTTTGTGATTGATCCAAACTCTTTTTCTCGTACTGTGGAGAATATATTTTATGTTTCTTTCATTATAAGGGATGGTTTTGCAAGAATAAGGCTTGACCAAGACAGGCTGCCAATATTAGAGCCGATTAATATTAACCAAGTGGGTGAGGGAAATGATCCCAGTTCTCATGGTAGAAGACAAGGAGTTATATCTTTAAGTTTACAGGACTGGAAAAATATTGTGGCAACTTTTGAGATTTCAGAGGCTATGATCACAAACTCATACTAGGGACTTTTGTTCTTAGTATAGGATGTATTTTGTGGCTTTTCCAAAGTATCTCAAAATTGAGAGTAAGATCCAAGCAGAAGCACATAGTGTATTTCATGTAAAGTGAAAAAGTATTTTCAAAACATCAGAAATTGTTTTACTGTGCAATGTATTTTTTTTTTTGGTAGTTTATGAAGTTGTCATGATCTGTTATTAAAAAATACTCATTGGCATGTTCACGGAAAGATTTTTTTTGAATGCCCATTAAGACTTTACCAATAAAAGTCAGTTCTGAATTTCCTAAAAGGCATTGATAATTTACCAAAAACTCAATTTTATGATGCACTGTGATACTACATTGCTTCTTTTGTTACAGGGAACCAAAGGAATCCCGTATGAGGCTCCGACAAGGTTGGGGGAAGAGTGGGTATTAAAAAAAAAAAAAGTCAAGAAAGACTTTATACATAGGTCAGTGAATAAGCGATGCAACACTATTTTTAAAAAATGTAGATTCCTTGCTTCATTGCAAGGAAGACTCCATAAGATTAATGCGTGGGTATCCATATTCTAAATAGTTTCACCTGTGATTGGACAAAATAACCTCTACAGTAGATAGGTGAGGCATCATTTAAGTGTGTGCTGAAAGGTAAGCAGGGATTAATCAAAGACAGCAGAGGTATTCTCGGCAGGGGGAATATGGAGGCCAAATAGAGGCCAAGAGTTACAGTCTTTATCTACTTGGTTCATGTCTTTTCTGGCCTCTAATTTCCAAACCCTTTGTGGTTGCTGCTGGTACACAGATTGGCCTTCAGAATCAGTGGTGTTTCATTATGTAACAGCCTTGAATATTCCCAGTTCAATTTTGTGTTTCTTATGAGGGCTTTAAATGCCTGGAAACTGGGGCGCCTGGGTGGCGCAGTCGGTTAAGCGTCCGACTTCAGCCAGGTCACGATCTCGCGCTCCGTGAGTTCGAGCCCCGCGTCGGGCTCTGGGCTGATGGCTCAGAGCCTGGAGCCTGTTTCCAATTCTGTGTCTCCCTCTCTCTCTGCCCCTCCCCCGTTCATGCTCTGTCTCTCTCTGTC